CCCCCCTTTTATTTTTATTTTATATTATTACTCTTCCCCTTTGCACGCCTTAAGAGTCATTTTTACTATTTTAGGCACTTTTGCAACTAATGTTTGAAGGGTGACATTGGGATTTCATTTTGGGGTGCTAAAAACCAATCAAGTAATCATTAAAGGTGGATTAGTAACACTATTAGGGGTCGTTTGGTAGGAGGGGTTAAAAAAAATAATGCAAGCATTAGCTCTATGCATTACTAATATCTTGTTTGGTACTTTTTTTCAACTTGTGTATAACTAATACTTGTATTAGTAATATTTGTATTAGTTATACATCATACTTGACATTATCCTATGCATAAGTAATGCATAGAAAACCATGGCATTAGTAATATCAAGGCTTTAATGCATGCATTAGCATGGTTAAAGACAAAATTGTCCTTAAAGTCTCTTAAAGCTAGAGAATATGGAGGACATTTTTGTAAACAACTATTTTTTAAAAAAATTATGCAATGCATTATAATTTTAATACAGCACACCAAACAATAGATAAGAAATATTTTTTGCATAACTAATGCTTGCATTACTAATACATGCATTACTAATACACATTATTCCGCACTATTCTTATACACCCTACCAAACGACCCCTTAGGGGTAGTTTTGACTAGGAAATAAATTATCTCATGATTAATTTAGTTATATCACCCTCTCATATAGATAAAAAAAATACTACAGTCACGGGATAACTAATTCCGTGATTAGTTATACCGCAATTTTATCTCAACCAAACATGGGACAAACTAATCCCAAATTTAATCCCAAAATTAATCATCCCTTATCCCTCATACCAAACAAGATCTTAGGGGTCGTTTGGTTTGAAGACAAGTTATGCTGGAATTAGTTATTCTGATATTATTTTTTATTGATTGTTTGGCATATTGTGTTAATCCTGGGATTGTCAACTTTGTGGCTTTATTCTGAAATTATTATTCCACCATCTGGCAATTATAAGTTATCCTGGTACTATTTTTACTCCTCAAATAATTTATCCCAAGATTAGTAACTAAACAAAGAATAATGCGATACTAAATTTTAATCTCACAATTATATTTAGGCGGAATACATCTGGAGACACTTAAAGTTGTCACCATTTTTCATTTAGACACCTAAACTTAAGGTTGTTTCTATTGAGCACTTATACTACACTAAACTTTTCCAACTAGACACTTCTTGCTGAGTTGACACATAGAGTGAACTTCACCCAAAATAGGCGCGAGAAGAGCCCAAAAACAGATTTTATCTTCATTTTATCTTTTTATTTCTTTCTTTCTTTCTTTCTTCTTCTTCTTCTTCTTCTTCTTCTTCTTCTTCTTCTTCTTCTCTCCACCATCACTTCCATCATTGTCTCCCCCACTTTCACCGTTGTTGCGCCTCCACCATTAATTTAGCTCAAAAGTTTGAACCATCAACCGTCTCAGTTGATTGAAACCGAAGTAGGGCCGTATTCTTCATTTGAAGTCAAAACACCATTAATGAGATCATTAAGAAAGCTTGAAGGTTTAAAATGGGTTACTTGATTTGATGAAAAATTGCAAAATTAATATTGGGGTTGTCTTAGAGTCTTGGTAGTGAATCTTTAGTTGAAGTTATAACAAATTTGGAGAAATTTCTCTTGAAATTTTGGATTAAAATCGTGGTTGGAACAAGAATAGACATGAAGATAGTGAAGAAATCAAGAACAATGATTTCAAGAACACTAATGTATCCTTTTTTTTGTCTTTTCTTTTGTTAATAATGTGTCATTTTCTAATTGGGTGTAAATTAAAGTTTTTTTTTCTTTTTGAGAATGTTATTTTATTTTGTTTACTAAATAGATTTTAAAATAGTTTTTTCTTCTTCTTTTTTAACTCAAAATGATATATGTCTTTTTTTTATTTGTCATTCACCACGTCAGCTGCGAGTGCATTGCACACACTTTGTAAGTTTGACTAATTGTCAAAAAAGTGCCTAATTGGAACAAGTTTAGTGTAGTATAAGTGCTCAATAGGAACAACCTTCAATTTAGGTGTCTAAATAAAAAATGATGCTAACTTTAAGTGTCTCCAAATGTATTCTGTCTTATATTTACTTATCCATCATACTGAACGACCCCTTAATATCATGGATGGTATCAAACCTACTGCAATAAGGTCATTCTACTTTGTAACCCAAAAAAATACATCAGCCATTCATATATGATATATATTGAAAATGTCATGATCCAAAATTCATTATAAGTTGTGATAGCACCCAACGATGTCGTTAGGCAAGCCAATGGTGAACCATCGAAGTAACTATTCATTTTATTACTTTCAAAATCATAAAGGTCTATTAAATAAAGAATCTAACGCATTTAAAATTATGGATACATGCAATTTTAGTAAGATATAAAATAAAATGGTGACAATATTAATGCAAAACCATTAACACTACTAGAATATCTCAAAACCCGCTGTCACAAGCACATGAGCATCCACTAAGAAGTACAATAATAATACAACATCTATCTGGAATATAAAATTGACAGGATAATATAAATGAACATGATGGAGACTTTGTGTACTGCGGATCGTATTTGTAACGACCCAATTTCCCCTTTGTTGGGTATCATGATGGCACCTAGTCTTAGGGACTAGGTAAGTCTAACTTATACTGAATAACAATAATAGTAATTAAAATTTAACAGTCTCAAAATAGAAGCCTCTACAAATTTACAATTTCCCAAAACCGGTAGTACAAGTTATAAGCTCTACAGAATTTACTACAACTTCTAAATACAACTGTTTGGAAATAAGTAAAAACAGTGTGAATATAAAATAGGAAGGTGACTCCGAAGCCCGCGAACACAATAGTAGGTTTATCATGAGTCTCCTCAGCAAGAATCCGCACAGCTACTAACGATCAAATACCTGGATTTGTACAAAAAAATATACAGAAGTGTAGTATGAGCACACCACAGCGGTGCCCAGTAAGTATCAAGACTAACCTCGGTGGAGTAGTGACAAAGAACAGTCAAGATACCTACTGGTCTAATAAACTGAACAAGTATAATTATAGGAATAACAATGTACGATTTCTACATAAAGACTGCACAATATGATTAACAATACCATAATTGCAATAAAAAGGAAATGACAAGTATCAGAGGAATAACATAATAACGATACAGAAGAGTGAACGGAAACACAACTTAAATCCAAAATCACAGGTGCAACAAGAACAAGTAACAACTCAACAACTACGATCGCTTTCACATCAGATTTTAGTCAACAAGCTCTGCGAGGTACCGAACCCCGGATAAATCACAACTCACGGGTCTCAATTCCTAAACTCGAACACTTGGCATTATATGCCCTCATCACACCTCATAACCGCACTGACGACTCACGTGCCAAATAGATCCATTCTCACATAGAAGGCAAGTAAACAAGGGTGTGTATCTATATTCAACAATATCAAGAAAATCTCTTATCCGATAAGGGTGCTTGGTTACGTGTATGCTTGTACAAGTGTCCTAACATAGTTCATACCAGCTAGTAAGCATAAGGAAAAGAACAAACAACACGTAGAAGGTTTACAGAACAGGGGGATCTACCGGAATACCGTTCCATAGTCCCAAAGTAAATATGCAGAATAGGGGATCTACCGGAATACCATTCCGTCCCAAAGTAAATATGCAGAACAGGAGGATCTACCGAAAAACTGTTCCGTAGTCTCAAATTAAATATACAGCTCAACCAACAGAGATAACAGTTTACAACATGACAAAAACCTCGTGCATCACCACAACAAGTACAACAACAATAATGACAATAATACAAGGTACGACTAGTAAATCAACTCAAGAAATTTAAATCACAAAGAAACGGTAGAACTCGTTCACAAGGAATAACCACAGAAAAGAATGCTAGGCATAAAGAGAATAGCTCAACAAGGGAAAACTAATATGTAACAACGATCCCACAATATCCAATTCAACATCAAGGATGCTAACATAAGTTAAATAATTCCAAATAATACTAATGTATATGGTAAAATCGGAGGGCCCAATTTCTCATCATCGAGGCACCTCAAAAGACGATCTCGAAGTCTCGAGGCTACAAGGTTATGGTCGAGTCTCCTTCCTCGAGGTTCATCGATGTTCGATCTTGGGACAGCGTTGACCGCGACTACGGAAGAAATGGGGAGTTCCCAAAGCACATGGCTAGGACTGACAGAGCCTAGTGGATTACCATGACCCTTAATCAGAGTGTCATCTAGCTGTCCCATCTCAACTTCTTTGTCATTTATGTATTTTGTACTATGTTGGGATTCCCCTCCTATATAAAGGGTATCCTTGTCATTTTGTAAGGCTCTCTGTTGCTTCAGCTTCTCCACACGGAATATACAAGAAACATTCTCTTTGCTATCTAACACATTCTCTTGATATTACTGCTTTCATTTATTATCCTCATATTTGTTCTTCATTTATTACTTATCATTGTCCATAAA